CATGACACAGTTAGCTCTGTGGCAGTGTCTTGGTCATTTAATGCCATATTTTCACTGTTCAAGAATCAATTTATTGACAGATCATAAGTTAACTAAAGGATTATTTCAGGTAATTGTGAATTTAGAGAATACTTTTAAGGCTCAGTAGTGCAATTCTCCAGTTTTTAGCTCATTATTTCAAATAATGTTAAATGTTAATTATGTAATAACTAAATACTAAACATTTGTAGTACATATTAGAAGGGATCTTAGAAATCATCTTATTCAATCCCCAACTCCATATTCCTGTCTGTAATGTTCTTGACAAGTAAGCAAGAACCATTCTTGCCTAATGGTAACCTTCTGAACCATTTTATTATTTGGCTTGGTTTTAGAGTCAGTCTCATGCTGGATACCCTTATAAGTGTTCTATATTTTTTTAGTGTTTCTTCTCAATGTGACATTTAGAATAAGTTATTAGCTGGATGGTACACTCTATCTTCTCTTGAATTGTGCACTAGGTGAGATTTAGGTATATATGTTTGTACATTGTGTATGGTATATATAGGTTTAAATGCTGCAATAATTTTAAATGTAATATTTCAGTTAATTAAGATTCGTTTTGTAGTTTGACACTTGTGAATGGTATTCTCTTCTTGACCCAGTCTCATACATTACTAACTGAAGTTGTCATGTGTTTGCAAGGATAATTTAAATGAACATAGAATTTGTGAAAACCTGACAGATCCTAACTATAACTCAGCTAGTGGGCAGCATTATAATTTATTTATAGCAGTGTAATGTAGCAGTTAATGAACTAATATACAATGAGGGCAAATTGTACTATATTTTTGCACGAAATTATACGACACAGCAAAGGTTGGCATTATGTAGTTAAGTACCCACAAAATGTTAACCTACTTGCAATAAATACAATTAATAATGTACATAAAAGAATGGAATTAAGCTAATTTTCTATCACAAAAGAATTATTCGTGAACAGAAAGTGGACAGCATAGATTTGATGACAGAAAGGTTGTATCTAATCTGAATTACTGAGTGACCTAGGAAGCTTGCTCAGAGGGATTACAGAATAATTATGTTAATATGCAATTATCACCTCATTTCTTCTGTAGTAACCTCAAGATGTAGTGTAGTGAGGGTGTTATAGCAAGTGCTGATAGTTTGCAAAAATACTGATGTTTGAGATTTCTGAGACAATAAGTCTAGCTTGAGGCATATAAGTGATGATCTGTCATCTTGAAGACAGATCTGACCTTTGTACAATTTTTTAATGCTCACAGTATATAACTAGAGGCAGTTATAGCTGTAAAACTCATTATGATTTTCCAGCAATTGAAATATATTTTATGTAGATTTAAAGTTCTGTTTGCAGCTTTTAAAAAAGGTGTGTGAATTTTTTTAAAGAACATTTTAAAATTCAGTTAAAAGAAAAATTCTATGATTATATGATTATCTGGGGAAGCTTTAGTAATGGTGTCTAAACATTGTTTTAAAATCTTAATTGATATAACTAATTCATTGAATTCATTGAATTGAAATTTAAGGAGTCCAACAGTTTATCTATCTTAATTTATTAGCTTCTGTTTTTTAAACTTAGTGAATAATGCCCACCTTCAAATATGTTCCTACTTTGTTATAGTAACCTAAACTGGTATTGATGTCTCTGTTATATATACATTTGACTATACAAAGGTAGTTGAAAAACTATTTGAGATGGTGTAAAATTAACTCAGATCAAATAGTTTCTTGCCTAGATGCCTCATAACCCAACATGAATGTAGTAAAATAATTTTTGATGGTGTTAAAATTCTGTATCCATTATTCAGTGCAACAGATTTTGATGCTCCATTGTTCTGCGTGGTATCTCAGGACAACAGCTATGAGTATTGAGTACTGTTATTAATAAGTAGTGTATTTGGAGCATTGTATAATTAGAATATATTCTGAACATTTTAATTGTTTCTAAAATAAGTACCCACAAAATGTTAATCTACTTATAGTAAATACAGTTAATAATGTACATAAAAGAACAAAATTAAGCTAATTTTCTCTGAGTAAAGAATTACTCATGAACAAAAAGTGGACAGTATAGATTTGACGACAGGAAGGTTGTATCTAATCAGAATTACCAAGTGATCTAGAAAACTTCCTTACTTAGTCAACTTTTGTAACATATTTTCAAACTGATGCAGAAGGTAATGTCTTTTATTTTTGAGTAGAGATAATTATTAATTTGGGGATAAGTAAGTCATGTCATGTGGATGTGAAGGAAAACTTTAATTGTTAAAGTCTTCATTTTATATTTTAATAATATTTAATCTGATTTTTTTTGCTAGATGTGTTTTGTAGATAAAATCATTTATGCACATATATTTTTTCTATGTTTTTGAACAAAACAGGTTGATATCTTCAGAATGTGAACTTATGAAAAGCTCTTATAAAGCCATTCTGGTAATGAGGATGCAGTCTCCAAGCTGACATGATGTTCTCATAGTTTGTCACCCTGCTGTTCAGGGGGTACCAATGAAGTTGCTTTAAATGGGAAGCGTCTGTTCCATCTCTAAACCTCTAACACCAGAACAGATGGGTGGGACATAGAACATGGAAGGTTTTACCTCTGAGGTGGTAACAGTGAAGCCACTCATTAACACTGAATTTACCACTTCGTTAGCAACATTGCTTCCTGTTGAGAAAAACTAATATAGGCTTTCAAATTGACTGAGCATATATTTGTCCACCTCTGTGATTATAATAAGTGGGAACGTAAAGGAAAGTAACTGTCTTTCAAGCCAGTTTTTTGTCGTTCATTTCAGATTTATGAGATTGTTGCTATTGAAGCATTTTATATTTTCTACCTAATTTAATGAGAAATATCAGGAATGAATAATAAGTGTAGCATTAAGGCTTGCTTTTCTTTCCCTTGACATTTGCACACCCTTTCCTAACACATGTTTATGTGCTGCCCATTTTTAACTTCTGTGTGTGTGATGTAGAGACTCCTGCTGGGTGATGCATTAGCACCATTTTGGAGTGATATCCTTGAATGTGATCTTATTGGAAGTCTATTTTTATTACCACCATACCAGAAGTTTGCCAATCTCAGAACAGAATTCTAAAACCTATGAGGGGTGGAAAAAATAATTGTTGGTATAAATAACAATGTCAAAGATACTGGTAATAGATATTTTTTGTATTAAATAACATTTTATGGAAAGAATAAGATCAGATTATAAATGCTTGTTCTAAGTTATAAAATACAAAAAAGGTAAGAACAATTTTATTATTCTTGAATTAGATTTAATGTTTTACAAAGCATGAAATTGGTACCCTTAAAGGAGAGTAAAAATATTGAACTTTATTGAACATGTTTTGATTTGTAAATGTTAGATTGTGAGGTCCTGTTGCCCTAAAATAATATTACTTGTTATGCAAATTAAAAATACTACAAAAGAAAAATATACAGGCTTCGTTCTTTATCTGAGAGCAGGAAACTAACTTGTCTTGTTTACTGTTATTTCTGAAATACGGGATCAATGCATGGCACAACTAAGTGCGTAGTAAATATTTGGATAATAACTGCAAAAAAGGAGAAGAAATATGGAAGCTTATGCCAATACTTCAATTAGTTAATACCTGGGGTTGCCAAATAGCAGGTTCTTTAAATTGTACATGAGAATTATTGGATATTTTGAGGACCTTATTATAATTACTGCATTAATAAATCAGAACCTGATGGAACTTGTATTTGAATGGGGTATCCAAATTTCATAGGAACAAAACTGTTTTTCTTCTTACACTTTAGGAACTTGTACTTTGATTTTGAAATTGTGTTTTTATTAATCCAATACTTACTCAGTCTTTTATTCAACAAATATTGCCTGAGCACCTATGCCAAGTGATGTACTAGGTTCTAGAGATATGATAGTGACTAGATTACATTCCCAGTCCTCTAAGAGCAGGAAAAGAACAGGTTGCAAGGGAACTTTTCATAGTAAGGGTAGTCATTACATAAAGTCATCATATGAATGGACCCCAAACATTCAGAAATACTATTTGCTTTAAAAATATTGTACTTTTTTCTCATAATGATTAAATAACTTATCAAAAATGCCTAGAAAAGTTTTATCTACATTTTATGTGAAATAAATTTAAAACATATGTTTATGCTATTTTATTGTAAAATGTGTTAGGCCGTTGCACTAGACCACCAGATCAAAAATGGGATAACTGCTTTTAAAGAATGCCTGGAATTTGGGGCCCCACATATGAAAGTTTGACATGAAACTTCATTAATTTTAACTTTAGTGAAGTTGAAATTCACTTTACTAAAATTTAGTTAACTTTAGTAAAGTTAAAATTATAGTTAAGGTTAATTTGAATAAGGAATGAACAAAACTATGAATAAAGCATTTTAACAATAAAACATTGATGTTGATAGCAAATATGTTCATTCAAATAAAGTTTTTTACTGAATGGCGTTTTGTTACCTTCCTTCAGGAATGAACTTATAAGTGACAAATCTTTCATTTCTCTGCAGTGTTTGATAATTTATATTATTCTCTCGAATAGAGTGACTGCCTCTGATAAACCTACTTAAGTGAAAGAATTTTCTTTGTATTAGCAATCTCTACATGTGGTTTAAAATTTTTTCAGTCTGTAGCATATTTACATTGTTTTTGTGTCTGTGTGTATATGTGTATCTGTGTGTATGCTGCTTTTCCCTAGTATGTTTGTGTTTGTTGCTTTTCTCTAGACATTTTGTATATATGACGTATTGGATTGTTGTTGTTGCCTAGCATGAAGAACAATATTAACCTTTGAGGTGCTTTTTAAATATTTCAATATGTTTGTGTTCTTTCATTCTTGGAAAATTATTAGAATGTCAATATAAAGAGTAGAAAATTAAACTAATAAAAATATGTACTTTCAACTCTCCATACATTCTAATAGTATTTTTTCTTTCATGCAAATCTAAATTTTTTTTTTCCATTTTCTAGACTAAATGTGTTAAATGGGCTTGCCAACAATATGGATGATTTGAAGATAAACACCGATATTACTGGTGCTAAAGAAGAACTCCTAGATGACAACAATTTTATCTCAGACAAGGAGAGCGGAGTTCATAAACCAAAAGATTGTCAAACATCATTTCAGAAAAATAATACATTGACTCTGCCTGAAGAACTGTCAAAGGACAAATCTGAAAACGCCTTAAGCGGAGGCCAGTCTAGTCTATTTATACATGCTGGTGCTCCTACTGTTTCTAGTGAAAACTTTATCTTACCTAAAGGAGCTGCTGTTAATGGACCAGTTTCACACTCCTCCTTAACTAAGACTTCCAATATGAATAAAGGCAGTGTTTCATTAACCACTGGGCAGCCTGTGGATCAGCCAACAACAGAATCTTGTTCAACTTTGAAGGTAGCAGCTGATCTTCAGCTGTCTACACCACAGAAAGCAAGTCAACACCAAGTTTTATTTTTGTTATCAGATGTAGCACATGCTAAGAATCCCACCCATTCCAATAAAAAACTACCTACCTCTGCTTCAGTTGGTTGTGACATTCAGAATTCAGTAGGGAGTAATATAAAGTCAGATGGCACTTTAATAAATCAAGTAGAGGTGGGTGAGGATGGTGAAGATTTATTGGTAAAAGATGATTGTGTCAATACAGTAACAGGAATTTCCTCAGGTACAGATGGATTTAGATCAGAAAATGATACAAACTGGGATCCCCAAAAAGAGTTCATTCAGTTTCTTATGACTAATGAGGAAACAGTAGACAAAGCTCCACCTCATTCTAAAGTAGGTCTAGAAAAAAAAAGAAAGCGAAAAATGGATGTAAGCAAGATAACTCGTTATACTGAGGATTGCTTTAGTGATTCTAATTGTGTACCCAATAAATCAAAAATGCAAGAAGTAGACTTTCTAGAACAAAATGAAGAGCTACAAGCAGTAGACCCACAGAAATATGCTTTATCAAAAGTGAAGCCTGAAGCGACTGATGAAGACTTAGAATCTGTGGATGCCTTCCAACATCTAATTTATAACCCAGATAAGTGTGGAGAAGAGAGTTCACCTGTTCATACTAGCACTTTTCTTTCAAATACCTTAAAAAAGAAATGTGAAGAGAGTGATTCTGAGTCACCTGCTACTTTCAGTACCGAAGAGCCATCATTCTACCCCTGTACAAAGTGCAATGTGAATTTTAGGGAGAAGAAGCACCTCCACAGGCATATGATGTATCATTTAGATGGGAATAGTCACTTTCGCCATCTTAATGTCCCAAGGCCATATGCTTGTAGAGAATGTGGACGGACATTTCGAGATCGCAATTCACTTCTAAAACATATGATTATTCACCAGGAGAGAAGACAGAAGTTGATGGAGGAAATTCGTGAATTGAAAGAACTTCAGGATGAAGGAAGAAGCGCACGATTACAGTGTCCTCAGTGTGTGTTTGGTACCAATTGCCCTAAAACATTTGTGCAACATGCTAAAACCCATGAAAAAGATAAAAGGTACTACTGCTGTGAAGAGTGTAACTTCATGGCAGTGACAGAAAATGAATTAGAATGCCATCGAGGCATTGCACATGGGGCAGTGGTAAAATGCCCGTTGGTCACTTCTGATATAGCCCAGAGAAAAACACAAAAAAAGACTTTCATGAAAGACTCCGTAGTAGGATCGTCCAAAAAATCAGCTACCTACGTATGTAAGATGTGTCCTTTTACTACTTCAGCCAAAAGTGTTTTAAAAAAGCACATGGAGTACTTGCATTCATCATCATGTGTTGATTCATTTGGTAGTCCTCTTGGACTTGATAAAAGAAAAAATGACATCCTTGAAGAACCTGTAGATAGTGATAGCACTAAACCATTAACTAAACAACAGTCAACCACGTTTCCAAAGAACTCTGCTTTAAAACAAGATGTGAGGCGAACATTTGGATCAACCTCACAATCAAGTAGTTTTTCAAAAATCCACAAGCGGCCACACAGAGTACAGAAAGCTCGGAAAAGCATTGCCCAATCAGGCGTAAACACTTGCAATCAAAACAGCTCTCCTCATAAGAATGTTACAATTAAAAGCAGCATTGACCAAAAACCTAAGTATTTTCATCAAACAGCAAAAGAAAAGTCTAATGCCAAGGCAAATAGCAACTATTTGTATAGACACAAATATGAAAACTATAGGATGATAAAAAAATCAGGTGAATCATATCCTGTGCATTTCAAAAAAGAAGAAGCTAGTTCATTAAATTCTTTACACCTGTTTTCATCATCAAGTAATTCTCACAACAGTTTTATTTCAGACCCTCATAAGCCTGACACCAAAAGACCTGAAAGCTTCAAAGATCACAGACGTGTAGCTGTAAAGAGAGTAGTTAAGGAATCTAAGAAGGAAAGTTCTGTTGGAGGGGAAGACTTGGATAGCTATCCAGATTTTTTGCATAAAATGACTGTTGTCGTTTTGCAAAAACTTAATTCTGCTGAAAAGAAAGATAGTTATGAAACAGAAGATGAAAGTTCCTGGGATAATGTTGAGTTAGGAGACTACACTACACAGGCCATAGAAGATGAAACCTATAGTGATATTAATCAAGAACATGTAAATTTATTCCCTTTATTTAAGAGCAAAGTGGAAGGTCAGGAGCCTGGAGAAAATGCTACTCTTAGTTATGACCAAAATGATGGCTTTTATTTTGAATACTATGAAGATGCTGGAAGTAACAACTTTTTGCATGAGATACATGATCCTCAGCATTTAGAAACTGCAGATGCTTCATTGTCAAAGCATAGTTCTGTTTTTCATTGGACTGATTTGTCTCTTGAGAAGAAATCGTGTCCTTACTGCCCAGCAACATTTGAAACAGGTGTTGGGTTATCAAATCATGTCCGGGGGCATCTTCACAGAGCAGGATTAAGCTATGAAGCCCGTCATGTTGTATCACCAGAACAAATAGCCACAAGTGACAAAATGCAGCATTTCAAAAGAACTGGCACAGGAACACCTGTTAAACGAGTTAGAAAAGGTAAGTTCTCCATGGGAATAATTTGGGCTAATAGGTCTGTGTTCTAATTCTGAGGATTTAAAAGTTCTGTTTGAATTTGGTCTCCATTAGAATCATATAATTTTATGTTTCAGAATTAACTCATTTTAGGGTGGTCAGTTTATATAAGAAAGTCTGATATTACTCTTAAAAATTTTTTTTTAGCTATAGAGAAGTCTGAAACCACTTCTGAACACACTTGTCAGCTCTGTGGTGGTTGGTTTGATACTAAAATTGGATTATCAAATCATGTTAGAGGCCACTTGAAAAGACTTGGAAAGACCAAATGGGATGCTCACAAATCTCCAATCTGTGTTCTGAATGAGATGATGCAAAATGAAGAAAAATATGAAAAAATCTTAAAGGCTTTGAACAGTCGTCGTATTATTCCCAGACCATTTGTAGCTCAAAAACTTGCATCAAATGATGACTTTATATCTCAAAATGTTATACCTCTTGAAGCATACCGTAATGGCCTAAAGACTGAAGCTCTGTCAGTGTCTGCATCAGAAGAAGAAGGGCTGAATTTCTTAAATGAATATGATGAAACAAAACCAGAACTGCCCAGTGGAAAAAAGAATCAATCTCTTACACTCATAGAACTTCTTAAAAATAAAAGGATGGGAGAAGAAAGGAATTCTGCTATTTCTCCGCAAAAGATCCATAATCAGACAGCAAGAAAGAGATTCGTTCAGAAATGTGTTCTTCCATTAAATGAGGATAGTCCGTTGATGTATCAGCCACAAAAAATGGACTTGACTATGCACTCAGGTAAGAGGACATTTATGACTATCCTATACACAATTTAAATGCAGTTCAATTATGTCTTCTTTAATGGAATCTATGTGGAAAATACTTTCTCACAGTCTTCTTGTGTAAGCTGCTTTTTTTTTACAGAGCACAGATTGGTTATTCTACTGTCATTTCTGTATAACTCATCAATTGATGCTCATTAGCACTGAGTTCTCTGTGCCTCTTTTCTTGGTCTGAATGTAAGGTGAGAACAAAAGCAGAAGAAAACCACACACACACACAAACAAACAAAAAGCTGATCTGTGAAAATAAAACTTGCTGTGGCTGGAGGATGGTTGTGGATAATGTTCAAAAGCATAGCATTATTGAAAAGGCATACCTCTGTCATATTTTTGCGAGTTCTCCAAGGTAATCATGTTTTCAAGATTTAGCTGTTGGGTTTTCCACTGCGTAGGTAAAACAAAAAAGACTCTTAAAGCTAAATGGTTTGGTGTCTTTGTGATTAACCCAAAGAAACATCTCCGTCTCCAATTCCTCATTGTATTGCGGGATAGTTTGGTTTTGGAGAACAGGTGTGAACATAAAACATATTTGTTTGGGGTTTTAGGTTTTAAGATGGTGCTGTAATGGAACAGAACAGATGATTTAGCTTAGTGCTTGTGCACCAATAGTTTTTCCTTTTGAAAGGAATATTTTGTATGTATTGGCAAATAATGTGGCAGATAAAGTAGCCAAACTTTATTCAGTATTGCCAAGTCTGGTTTATACTTTCAGACTAGAAAAATTTTAAGTGTCTTTTCTAGATTTCTTTTTGAAGGTTAATAATGTTGAAGGTTTATGTAAATGGTCTCATGATTAGAGCTGTAAGTTGAATGTGTCGGAGGTAATAGTTAATGGATTAATAACGAGTAACATTACTGTAAAGTAATGTTGTTTATTTGCTTTGGGGCAAACATTGTGATATCCCAAATAGTTGTAATGCAATTTTGATTTAAGGAAAGATGACTTTGTGTTGTAAGTGGTCTGGAAAACAATTTATCTTGTATGAGCTTCTGTTTAATATGGCTTTTTCTTTCTAATAAAGAGTCTCTGAAAGTCAATAGCTTTCAATATTTTTTCAGAAGGATAAAATGCAGGCAAGATGTGTTAGCTGTGTTGACCAAGGAGTAGTATACTTCAGAGATGGAAAATGTATTTGTGGCTATCACAGTAATGCTGAAGAAACCGATTGAAATGTGTTGGGGGAGTGAGGATTGTCTGAGAAGTTAGGAGTTTCTTATTGTTTGAACATGTTTTTTCTGTGATGACTAGGATGTTAGCTTGTTGATCATTTATTTAGCACAAAGATTTTAGCAGAAAACTTTAAATCATTGACTTTCATTATTGATTGCGCATTCAGAGTAATGAACATAAAATACCCTGAATAAAATGTTGTGTCTAACAGCTGTTCAGTGGTGTGTTTTACCACCTTTTCTCCCAGCCTTCATCAGAAAGCCTAATTTAGTACTGAGACTTTTACGGTTTTGTGGGTAAAACACTTTAATTACCACTTTGTCAACTAGACTTTTTAATTCTTTTTATTGGTAATGTTGTAAGCTTTGAAACTTCTCAACAGAACCGTGGTGTTCAAATCACAGGATTGTATATTAGTAGGTTTAAGAAATAATCTGCGTAACACAGAAATCTGCAAGAAAGTGATAATAGGTGTTATATCCAGAGGAGCTCAAAGTTTCAAGTCACTCCTCTTCTACCTTTCCAGAGAGCATGAGTTGGCTCTAAACACTAACTACAAACTAATAATAGTTAACTTAATTTCCCCTCCTTATTTTAAGTTAACCTATTTCATTGAACGTTTTGAAAACCATCTTTATTGTGGTGCTTTTCTACACTCTTTAAGCTAAGAAAATTTCACTTTTTGAAGTGAGAACTGGATTATAGTTTTCTTTTGAATGATAGGTATGCCTGTGAAGCTTAGAACATGTGTGCATTGCAATACGACGTTTACAAGTGCTGTTAGCCTGTCCAACCACTTACGCGCTTATGCACGAAAGAAGAGTGCTGGACTTTTGACTGGTACAGGTATGTTTGAACAGATATCACAGCAAGTCTGTTTGATACAATACACTTTTTTTTTTCCCACCAGACTGGTGTTAATTCAGATCATATTTATAGCTTTCTTTAGTAAGCTGCAGTTGAGTCTGAATACACATTAAATTTCAGCAGCTTGTAAACTGTTAGATATAATTCTAAGCTAGTTAATCTTTTTCTTTTGGCTCTTATTGACTTAATTTGGGGAAAAAAAATTAACCCAAGAGGTGTGGAACTTTTGAGTCTACCTTAATCTCATTTCTTTTTTAGAATACTATTTTTGATTTTTAAATTTATTTTAGATTCCAGTAAAACACCTCTCTTTATAGTTCTAGTCAGGCACAGTGGTGTGCCCCTATAGTCCCAGCTACTCATGAGGCTGGCAGGAGGATCACTTGAGCTCAAGAGTTAGAGGCTATAATGTGCAATGATTGTGCCTGTGAATAGTCACTGCACTCCAACCTGGGCAACATAGCATAAAAATATTGTAGTTCTAGCTTGGGGAAATCCTTTTAGCAAAGGAAATTATAGGGATATTTCAAAATGTAGACTTGGTTAGTAAACTAAGCAAACTAATGAATTTTCATTAGTCTATAGATTAGATCTTTGAAGGGGTGAGCCTTAATAATGGCTTGTGTTGACAAGTGAATAGATTTTTCTTTTAATACTTCTTAAATATATTAAGGATTAATAAACTTAGCTATGCACATAAGTGTTAACATGCACATTTCTGTGTTATTTTTGGTTGGTTAGCCTAACCTTGCAGATACCTCTTAATACTGCTCATCTGTGAAAATTTGATTAGCTTACTTCTATGTAATATGCTTCTTATAACCTACAAGATGCTTTGCACTTTCATTTGTAGTCTTTTAAGCTACCCTGCTTCAGCAAATCTCATTTCCTTCACATCTTAAAATATACCCTCTTTTTGACATAGATCTACATAAATTCTTTTGCCTAAAATTCTTTCCAATCTTTTTATTTCTCTTGCTCTTTTTTAGATCACTGCCTCCTGCTTTCTTCTAGTTGTTTGCCCAGCTTTTTTGTTCTTCCTTGTGTCCTATAACTTACATCCAATATGTTCTTGCTTTCAAAAAACCACTTATATTTATACTAGTGTCTTCTGCTTCTTTGCATTCTTCCTTAACTTGATATACAAATGACCAGGGATGAATGTTGACGGTTTATATTAAAAAGAGAGGAGCGGGGTGAGTTTTAGTCTACTGGATTAGGCCTCCTACTCTGAGATTATAATTTTTATATACCTTTATCACCTTTATCAGGCTTGGCAAGTGATTGCAGACATTAGAGGTGGGGGACAATGAAAATAAGAGACTGTACAAGTGGGAAATCATTAGTTACCATACTTGCTAACCTTTATTGAACATTTACTATGTGTCAGGCACTATGCTATGCAATTTACATGTATAACATTTAATCTTCACAACAACCATACAAGTTGTAGGTACTGGAATTCTCTTCCATTTTATAGGAAACTAGGACTTAGAGAACTTAATTTGCTCAAACTTATACAGTTAATAAGTAGCAAGGTTGTAATTCAGATCAGGGCTATCTTACCTAATCTTTGTTTTTAATCACTGTTTTCTACCTTATACAGGCGGCCTATATTTGAATTTCTTATTTTTAAAATAAGAAATTGAAATAAAAATAAGCAATTGAAAATTCTAAAACGAAGGTGGGTGGGTTTGTTTGTTTGTTTGTTTATTTATTTATTTATTTAGAGATGGAGTCTCGCTCTGTCACCCAGGCTGGAGTGCAGTGGCGCGATCTTGGCTCACTGCAACCTCCACCTCCCGGGTTCAAGCAATGCCCCTGCCTCAGCCTCCCTAGTAGCTGGGATTACAGGTTCATGCCATCATGCCCAGCTAATTTTTTTGTATTTTTAGTAGAGATGGGGTTTCACCATGTTGGACAGGCTGGTCTCGAACTCCTGACCTCAGGCAGTCTGCCGGCCTCAGCCTCCCAAAGTGCTGGGATTACAGGCGTGAGACACCGCACCCGGCCTGAAGGTGGGTTTAAAATGGGGAGTACTCTGGTAAAGATTGAATACATAAGAGTCTAATTAAAAAGAGCAGAGATCCAAGAAGTGCTTAGGCCTAGATTAGACTTTGGAGGACTTAGCGTTCCATTCTGATTATTCAAGCAGATTATGCAGATATCCAATAAGGCAAGGTATCTCCAGTCCAGATTTTATTAGTCCACTAAAAAAATGCTTTTACTTCATCTGAAAATTCTGCAAAACACAGGATTAATTACCTATAAATAACTGGTAGTAAATTTCCATTTACCAAGAATGCATTTATGAAGATTATCTAAAAAAAAATCTTCATTGTCAGAGAGAAAAGTAACGTAAGATGACTGAGAATATATTTAGGTCCTGAAGAATAAAAGAGGGTGTTATTTTAAAAATATGATTAAGTACTAGCTAAAATATTAGAAGTACTAGGAAATAGAAAGCGTGTGTTTGGCAGTCCTAGGCAAAGAAAAGGAAAATGAGAAACTGAAGAAAGCCTAGGGTCATATTTTCCACACCCAGTAGCCACTTTTGACAAACTTTAAAAACTAATGCTTCTTTTTCTTGGAAATTCTGAAACATTTTTCCCTCATTAAAAAAAATCTTGATCAGTAGAGCTATACAGATGTCTTTGCTGCTTATTCATGCCAACTGGAAAGTTTTTATCAAGCTTTATTAACTTTTTTATTTTCCGAATAGAGAATTCTGTATTATATTTGCAAACTCCACATACCTATTATTCCCCATATCAGTATCACTGTTATAAAGCAGTAGTCCTAATAACCTATGGCCCTAGAAGGTTCCACTCGGTTATTATAAGTGATTCGTTAATTCATATGAGTAAAAGGCATCATTTTTCAAGAATACATGATCTTTTAATGAATAAAATGCAAATTCATTTTTATAAAATCTTAGTATATCACAAAATTGGAACAATGTAAAGGAAAAATAGGTGGGAATAAAGCCTTCCTAACCATGTCCAGTATGTGTATTTCTAGTTTAAGCAGTCTTAATTCATGTGGATTTTAAGTTGTGTGGCACTCTTGAATACAAAGCTTAGATACCCCCAGATTAAATGGTAAAGGCCTGCTTTTGGTTACCTGTGATAGAATAAACTTTCAAGCCTTCTTAGAAGCCACCAGCTCCTGGTCTCTTCTGTGGGAACTGGTGACCTTTTGAGGGAAGCAAAATATATCTTCTAACTTATAATCCCTTCAAGTATCCTGAATACACTGAAAAGGATACCCCTATTCTTCCCAAAATACCTGTTTACTGGTGACCTAAATACTTCTGATGTTATGGTTCTCAGTCTTTATTGGGGTCACCAACATCTTTGAGAATTTCATGAAAGCTATGGGCCCCATCCCAGAAACATGCACTTATTCATTCTCAGATAAAAAATTTTCTGTGTATAGCCTTTGCATGTCTCCTGAAGGCTATCATCAATTTGTCTGGTGGAAAATTGAGAAAGGAGAGATGCCAGAATAAAAGGAAAGTAGAAACAGAACTAGGAATCAGAAGCCCTAAGAAGTTCTTTTTTGTTTTTTTTATAAGAGCAGAAGATGCTTAAAATATAAGAATTGCATAATAACAAAACTAATTCTGGGGTCATAAATATAAATTAAAATATATCTTCCCTGATATTTATAAAAGGAACCGATGGAGGAAATAGGAAAGGTTTAGAATTGGAGATTTGGAAGAGGTAGGCAGACTTAGGACAGTTAAATTGTCATAAAAGAATAATTTCACAGATCAAAGTTTTGCCGAGAACTGTCTCAGTTTATCTTCTGTTGGGTAGGTTCAAATAATAATTTTTATGTGTCTTTACTTGTAGATAATTTATGAAGCTGTTTTACTTCCTTTCCCCTGATCAATCTTTATCAAAACAGACTAGAATCAAAGGGTTTATTTTGTATCCTATATCGTAAATTTAAGGCAGACTTCTTACTCAAGAGTTTATTCCAGTTATTTATAGAATGCAGTAATGGTAGGTTTTTTTTTGAGATTTTGTTCTCTTTAATGTTTTACATGCTCACACAGATTATTTCTGGTTAATTTTCTAAACAGTTTAATAAGAACACTATATAGTTTTCATTAAATATTGAAATTTTATAATGTAGCTTATATTAATTACTTCTGGACTTTTTATTTTACTGATTAGCTTTTTGTGCCTAATGTTTTAATTAAATGATGTATTTTTATGCTGGCAATATTAAGAACATAGTTCTATGAAGTTATTAATGGAGGGACTGTACATACTGGTTTGCCTTGTCACACCTAAGTACTAGTGCCTCTTTTACTCTCATAAGTGTCCTGGATTGAATGATAAATTAATCATCCTGGTTATTAAAATTGCTAAAGCATTTAAAATTAAGGTAAAGCATATTCTATCAACCTAATCTGCAATCAGGAAATAAAATATATTTTGAGGTCAAAATAAGAGTGAATTTCAGCAGGTAGGGAAAGGGAAATACAGTCAGAGTAGAGAGAATGTTGTTAAAGGAAGTAGATCTGTCAGTGAATGCCACAATGCTTCTCTGTGGTAGATAGCATGTGTTATCCTTTGAAAAGAAGAAACAATGATGGTAGCATTCAGCATTTTAATGGGACTTTATTTTATATCTTGGCCACATATACAAACTTATATTAATACAAACACACAATTCCTTGTTCACTCACCTAAATGTACTTCAATATTTTCTTTTTTAGTATATTCTTTGTTGTGAAAAATTAATGCTGGTCATGAGCCAGTAAATTGATTTGCTGCCCACTAAGAAGTCACTATCATACATTGAAGTCACTGTCCTAACTGCCGCTTTCTCTTAGGGGTCAGTACTGACTAGAACCAATGGTAGTAGTATCTTAGAAGTCATAACTCTTCTGTGGCAGCAGGTGAATTTTCTATACGCATTTTATCCAAATTTTTCTCTCTAGATCACTTTTGAAATCAAATGCT